TTCAACTACCTGAAAGGGGGTTCCAAAGAGGATGGCTCTAGACTGTTCTCAATGGTAGCAGATGACAGAACGAGGAGTAATGGTCTCAAGTTGCAGTGGGGGAGGTTTAGATTGGATATTAGGAAAAACTTTTTCACTAAGAGGGTGGTGAAACACTGGAATGCGTTACCTAGGGAGGTGGTAGAATCTCCTTCCTTAGAGGTTTTTAAGGTCAGGCTTGACAAAGCCCTGGCTGGGATGATTTAACTGGGAATTGGTCCTGCTTCGAGCAGGGGGTTGGACTAGATGACCTTCAGGGGTCCCTTCCAACCCTGATATTCTATGATTCTATGTCACCGGACTTCCATCAGTAAAACTTAGAAACACCCACCCCAAGTGACAAAAGCTTTTTACCAACAAAAAGCGCTGCTGTGAACAGCAGTTTGTCGGCAGCAGAGTGCTCCTAACACTGCTCATTTGGGGGGGGGGGGGGGGATTTTTTGTTGGCAGGAGAGCTCTCCTGCTGACAAGAGCAGCTACACTGCACACCTTTTAATGGCATAGCTGTGTTGCTAAAAGGTACATAGTGTAGACACAGCCCTACTGTGGCTAGATTCCTGCAGTGATGATAAAACAGCTTAGTTACATGCACAATATGGATTTTTAACAGAGGTCAACATTTACAAGGACTCAAAGATCATTTGTCTTTAAAAGAGAGAGAAATATCCCTGGAGGTAAACAGATGACATTTGAGTCCCTGCACTAGAGCCAATCAATAACAGCTCTGTTTTGTCTGTTAGTAGGAAAATATGAAGCCATCTGTGATTGACTATCACATGGACAATTACGAAAACCAACAAGCTGTTTCCACAGCATCATCAGATCTGTGTTTGTGTGGGTTTTCTTTTTTAATATCTGTAAGTGTGATACAGCAAACCCTTAATCACAGGGATAAGCATTGTCTGTCTGATTCCATAAACTGTAAGGCACGGGGGAACTAGGCCAAGAGTTAATTTTTAAAAAGCTCCTTTGAGCAGGGGACTGCAGTGTGGGGAAAGGGAAAGAAGACGACTTGTGATGAGGTAGAACAGCATAGATCCAGAGCTTCTTGACGACGATAAGCATCTGATTCCCCCCACCATCTAAAACCATACCGATCTGCTAGCAAAACCTAACTTGCATAGGTATAAGTGACTACACAAGGTGAATTTCACAGTTGCTCCACACAAGTGTAAATTATAGCATGAGATGCAAGGTAAACAGTCTGATTTCTCTCTCCCCGCCACCCCCCAGTCATTTATATAACTCTTGTTAGATCTGATGCTCAGCACAGGGTTGTGAGTTCATTTGATTTCCTACTTTCAAGTGATATCTTGGACTTGGGGGTGGAGAGGGTAAAAACCTTTACTCCAATGTGGTCCTCTTTCCAAACGGATGGAACTAGTGATCAGTGTGAATGGGAAGATAGGGTAGCAGGCCAATGTAGCTTGAAAAGAGAAGTCTCGGACATTGCAAATGTCACCTCCTTTAGACAGTGTGACAGAAGCTACCCTGTCATGGCCCCACCAGTTTAATTTTGAAAGCTGGCAATAACCTGTTTTCTGCTCTCCATTATCACTTGAGCTAGCATGCAACTGCTTTACTCCAGCTCTGTCCAGCTGGCTTTTCAGTCTCTGGAGTATGGTGCCTTTGAAGATGTGATGTTTTTGGGGTTTTTTGCCCATCAAAATTGTCAGGTTTTTCCCCCTTGGTATAAACAACTCAGAACAATTGCCTTTGCAAGGTTGTTCTTTCTTTTTGGAAACTCTCGCAGATAAGGATGGCAGGACAGTCTCCTATTATCTACTCTGACAAAATCTTGCTGTCCCCCTCCCCTTCCAAGCTAAAAGCTACTTAACGGATCAAGAGGATTTTTCAGCCTGAAGACAGAGCAGCCTTGGGAAGGAGATTCTAGCACCCCTGAAAGAGTGAAGGTACTAGTTTGCTCCTAACCACTTCCCAGAGCTACACTTGCATTTGGGCAAATTTCTTTAAGCAAAATAAAATTATAGACGGGCTGTGAAATCTGGATCTGCCAGCTCGGTGGGGCAGGGGCTGTATTTCTGTGTACGTACCGCACGGAGCACGCTCCTGGAGTCTCTGGAGACTGCCCTAGTGTGAGCGATTAAGAGTGACGATTGATAAATGAGCACTGAGTCTGCCCCGCCCCTTCACCAACTGTCGTTGGTGGGGAGGGCTAGATAGGCTACTGCCGGGGCCACAGTCAGCTACTAATGCCCTACGCCAGAGATCCTCCGCCCCGCACTGACCTCATAGCCCCAGCGGCGTGACCCTCTTTCGAACACAGTTGGAGTCTGCTGGTGACTCCCCTTGGAAGGGTTGGGGTCACGCTCCACTGGTACAGAACCTCTGCCACATCGATGGCAGGCCTGCCGAAAGCATCCCTTGAGAACGGAGGTTGTGACGCACGGTTGGCTGGCATCTGGTTCGGGTCCCTCCCTGACATTCCGCTGCTGTAGCCATGGGAAGTGCAGTGGAGCAAAATTCTGCCCCGCGTGGGATTTTTGTGTCGGGGGGCAGATCCTGGCGGCCAGGCTTGTGCCGAGGGTGTGAATGAGGGCATTGGCAGGGTCTGTGGCTCAGTACGGAGTCTGTGCACAGCTGTGCCTTGGACACAGCTCTGCTGCAGGGAACTGTCTGGCATGTAACGGCAGTCTGGGGCCCTTCCTGCAGCCAGGCTTGTGGGCGTGTGTCTTCTCCTGCTCTGTGCGTGGCAAGGGCAGTCTTGTGAGTCCCTGGCAATGTTGCCCTTTGAGTGCATGAACCCACACTCGCATGGAGCCCCATCCTGTGCCACTGACCTCAGTGGGAGCAGATAAGCGTTGGCTTGCCATGGTGCTGCAACCCACAAAATGGAATAATCCAAGACCGATTCTGTACTGGGGGTTACCCTCATACCAGGCACTAGTGTAAGGAGATCAGGAGAGGACCAATGATCTCTGCCCCGCAGGGCAGGGGAGGGGACAAAATTCAACCAGTGTAAATGACAACTTTCCTATGTGCACTGGGGGCTTGCAATGGTGGTTGGAAGGGGGCTGATCCCCCATGAGGACATGGTCTGAGCCCAGCGTGGGTACCAGGATGGTGCTTCTGTTTACTTGCATTATAGAAATGCTGACACGGGGCTGGATTTTGCCAGCATGGTGGTTATTCTTTTTAGAGTAACAGCCGTGTTAGTCTGTCTTTGCAAAAAGAAAAGGAGTACTTGTGGCACCTTAGAGACTAACCCATTTATTTGAGCATGAGCTTTCGTGAGCTACAGCTCACTTCATCGGATGCATACCGTGGAAATGGCAGCAGACATTATATACACACAGAGACCATGAAACAATACCTCCTCCCACCCCACTGTCCTGCTGGTAATAGCTTATCTAAAGTGATCATCAAGGTGGGCCATTTCCAGCACAAATCCAGGTTTTCTCACATCCCCCCCCACCCCCATACACACACAAACTCACTCTCCTGCTGGTAATAGCTCATCCAAACTGACCACTCTCCAAGTTTAAATCCAAGTTAAACCAGAACATCTGGGGGGGGGGGGTAGGAAAAAACAAGGGGAAATAAGCTACCTTGCATAATGACTTAGCCACTCCCAGTCTCTATTTAAGCCTAAATTAATAGTATCCAATTTGCAAATGAATTCCAATTCAGCAGTTTCTCGCTGGAGTCTGGATTTGAAGTTTTTTTGTTTTAAGATAGCGACCTTCATGTCTGTGATTGCGTGACCAGAGAGATTGAAGTGTTCTCCGACTGGTTTTTGAATGTTATAATTCTTGACATCTGATTTGTGTCCATTGATTCTTTACGTAGAGACTGTCCAGTTTGAGCAATGTACATGGCAGAGGGGCATTGCTGGCACATGATGGCATATATCACATTGGTGGATGTGCAGGTGAACGAGCCTCTGATAGTGTGGCTGATGTTATTAGGCCCTGTGATGGTGTCCCCTGAACAGATATGTGGACACAGTTGGCAATGGGCTTTGTTGCAAGGATAGGTTCCTGGGTTAGTGGTTCTGTTGTGTGGTATGTGGTTGTTGGTGAGTATTTGCTTCAGGTTGGGGGGCTGTCTGTAGGCAAGGACTGGCCTGTCTCCCAAGATCTGTGAGAGTGATGGGTCGTCCTTCAGGATAGGTTGTAGATCCTTAATAATGCGTTGGAGGGGTTTTAGTTGGGGGCTGAAGGTGACGGCTAGTGGCGTTCTGTTATTTTCTTTGTTAGGCCTGTCCTGTAGTAGGTCACTTCTGGGAATTCTGTAACTTCTGTGCAGGGAGGGGGTAGGTATGCTGGGTGACCGACAGGAAGACACGAGGGGGTCTCTCCTCAGCTGGGATGAGGGACTGCTGGGTGGTGGAAACACACAGTCACGGAGAGCAGAAGTGTATTGCTGAGACAGTGCTCGCCCACCCCACCCCTTGGCTGCTGGATTTCAAGTGAGATGCTGTGTGTGCTGCCCACAAGGGCCACCCGGGGGCTGGGGAAAAGCTAGCCCTGAGCAGGGACGTTGGGAGCCAATGGCCCGATCCTGGAAAGTGCTGAGCTGCTGCAATGCCCTTGTCTTGGTTTTCCTGGAGCTGCTCATGCCTCCGTGGGAGCCCAGAGGAGGGGCAGAGCATAGCCCCTTGCGAGCTCAGATGCTCCTTAAGGTGAGGCGTCATGTACTCCAGGGGGAGCGCGGTCCCTCGGGTAGTGTAGCCGTCCTAGGCGATCCCTCCCCTGTGCACGGGTAGCATTGCCCTGAGAGCCGGACTAGGAGATGGAGACTAGAAATGGCTGACACCATCCCCTGGAGCCGTTTCCTTGCAGTAGTGACATCTAGTGGCAAATGTAGAGCTGCCAGGTCTCTGCATTGTCGGCCCTTAGGCTCTGTAGTTGGCAGGGAATGCAGGCTGCCTCCTATAGACAGATTTGTCTAATGAAATCGCTTTTCCAGACCCTTCATGCCTGTCTCTTTAATTGCAGGAGGCTACGAGAGGTTTTATTCAGAGTACCCAGAATTCTGTGCGAAAACGAAATCCCTGAGCAGCATTTCTCCACCAGCCAGCACAGAGCCGATCGAACTGGGGTGCAGCTCCTGTGGGACTCCCCTGCATGATCAGGTAGCTTCCCCATCCTTCAGCCCTGCTCGGAGCACCATGCACACTGACCTTGGTCCTAGTGTTTAAAGGGTTTTCCCACATGCCATGAAATGTGTAACGCCCTGAGCGTCGGGGGTGGGGGTCACCACATGGCATAACCTGACATGGACAGTGCGTGCGAGGTCCTGCTGTGTGCAGGACAGCATCTTGCTCTTTCAAAGGGTGTCCCCCCGTGCTGTCTGGGGTCCTGGGTGGAAATAGTCCATTCCAACAGGGTTGTGTAGGTAACCCATTTGGGAAGGCCTGCTGTAATGAGTGCCGCTCTCGGCTCTGGGGACTGGTCTGTCATGGCTGTGTGCAGCCTGCCGAGCTGGAGCTGCAGTCTGCTGTTACGTGGGCCTGAATCAAGAGTGACTCTGGCTTCGGTGGAGACGCTTGAGATTCACACCAGAGCTGGAGGGTTTTATTTGCTCACTGGGCACCAGAACCTACATTTCCAGAAGCATGGAGTGATTTTGCATGTCTCTGTTCTTAGTGGCCTGGCATGAGACCCTGGGAACCAGGCCCCTTCAAGGGGCCCTGAGTAGGCCATTCAAACGAAAGATGCCCCAATTCCTGCGTTACTCTTGAAGATGCAGGACTTGCTGGCTTTTGCTGGTAGCTGGTCTCAGCCTCCTCCCCCTTCTGTGCATGACATTCTCCCCTGGCCTCCCAGCGATGTTCCCCCCTGACAGTGACCTTTGTGTTGCTCTCTCCGGAAACAGGGAGGCCCAGTGGAAATCCTTCCTTTCCTCTACCTTGGCAGTGCGTATCACGCAGCCCGGAGGGACATGCTGGACACGCTGGGCATCACGGCCCTCTTGAACGTCTCGTCAGACTGTCCCAATCACTTCGAAGGACACTATCAGTACAAGTGCATCCCAGTGGAGGATAACCACAAGGCTGACATCAGCTCCTGGTTCATGGAAGCAATAGAGTATATAGGTATGTGTGCGCTGCTGGCTAAGCCTGGGAGCTGTGTGGTGGGCGTGGGGGAGGGCAGATACTAGGGTGGGGGAGGGCTGGCTTACTCTCACCCAAGGGGCTTCCCCTCTGGGCTAGGAGAAGTGTGCATTTTCCCAGGGCCCAGTGCCCCATCTAGAACCGTAGCGGGGCAGGCCCCCCGTCTGTTAAACACTGGTTTGGAAAGGTCCCCTTAAAGCACCCACTCACTTTGGGTGCCTGCTGTGGGCCAGCTCTGGGGCCTGCTGTGGGCCAGCTCTGGGGCCTGCCGGAGGGATGAGCACCTGCTGCCCCAGTGGAAGGCAGGGGTGCTCAGAGGTACCTAATGGCAAGCAGCTGTATGGAGCTTCTGACCCTGCTCCCCCATCACCTGGGCTTCAGGGCTGTGGCTGCTGTTCCGTACAGATGTGGCCTCGTCTGACAGCTCCTGTCTCTTGTGCCAGTGGCCCTTTGTCAGCAGGGGGTGCTCCTGAGCTGTCCATGTGAGCTGGGGGAGCTATTCACAACTCCCTCCCTTCTGCCCCCAGACTCGGTGAAGGACTGCCACGGCCGGGTACTGGTGCACTGCCAGGCTGGCATCTCCCGCTCTGCCACCATCTGCTTGGCCTACCTGATGATGAAGAAGCGTGTGAAGCTAGAGGAGGCGTTTGAGTTTGTCAAACAGCGCAGGAGCATTATCTCCCCCAACTTCAGTTTCATGGGGCAGCTGCTGCAGTTTGAGTCCCAAGTGCTGGCCACCTCCTGTGCTGCCGAGGCTGCCAGCCCCCCGGGGCCGCTGAGAGAGCGGGGCAAGGCCTCCTCCACGCCAACCTCCCAGTTTGTGTTCAGCTTCCCGGTCTCCATGGGGGTGCACGCGACCCCCAGCAGCCTCCCCTACCTGCACAGCCCCATCACCACCTCGCCCAGCTGTTAGCACATGGCACTAACTCCAGCACTGAGGTAGCACCTCCAGCAGGAGGGATGCTGACCTCACAGCCGCTGCCAGCCATGAGCCTGCAATAACTGACTGGCCTCGCTGGCCAGCATTGCCACTCTCCCCTCGACACCGAGCAATAACGGCTGGTCTGCCGCTGGCTTCGAGCTGCCTCTGGGGGTCCTTGTTTTCGCGGAGAAACTCCTTACCTCATTGTTTTTTTTTGTTGTTTTTAAGCAGCAAGGCTTGAAGTTGTGAATTCCACAAATCCTGACAATGTGTCTGACCAGTTTTGTTTGGGGAAGAAAATTACAATTTCCCAAAGTGCCTGGTTTTGATTTTTTCCCTAATATTTCTTTAATAAAATCCCCCAAAACAAACACCCAGCAGAAATATTTTTAACCTGGGCAGGAGACTTCTGGTTTTAAAACATGGACTTGCTAAAAACAAAGTTGAGCCCATGAGATTTATTGCAGTGATTTCCTCTGAGTACTGAACTGCAACATTTGTGCTGTCAGTGATTCTATAACCTGTTTGTGTGTTAACTATGAGCACAACAGCATGCAGGTCTCAAAGCAGCTAGAGAACAAATCCTCTTATCACATACCTGCAAGGACTGCTGTACCAGTCTCCTGTGTTGGGGGACAGGGATTAACGTGTGTATTTCCAGGCTGTACACAAGTGAGTTCAGATCACTCAGTCACTGCGCCATGGACTCTTCCGTCCAAGGAACAATCTTTGTGCGTAGTGGGTAGCACCTAGAGGTAGTATCCTGTCTCCTTCCTAGCCCTGCTTGTAGTAATGTATCTTACATCAGAAAAGGGTGGTTTCTTTACTTGGGTGGGGCCAATGCTTATACACCTGCTTTGCACTCCCCACGCTCCTCTGGAACACTGTGTATATCCTGGCATGAGCTGGTGGGTGCTCTGTGCTGAGGCTCCTGGATGCTTGCTTGGGATCCATCCTCGGGGGATATAAGGGAACAGTGCTAGGCTAGGAAGCCTGGGACCGTGGCATGCTAATCAGTAGTTCATAAGCATCAGTGACAGTAGGGTGCTGCTCTGGCTGCCCCAGAAATGTTATTTCCCAAATCAGAATAGCCTTTTTATCCACTAGAGCAGTGTTTTCTCCATTAGGGAACAATCTTGGCAGCTGTGGCAGGGCAGGGTCACTGTCCTTTCTGGACAAGGGAGTCCTCTCGCACTCTGAATGTACAGTGCAGTCGGGTGTCAGTAGGTACCCATCATTTCAAGCCACAAGTCTGCAATGCCCTGCTCCAAACCCGCCTCAGGGCCAGTAATGAATCTGGCTGTACGAAGATGCTATCGTGCCTGAGACTGCATTTGCTGGTAATGTGGTTACTAGCTTTTTGTCCCCTTGTCAGTGTCCTTAGATTCACGCTAGCTGCATGCAGATCCTGGTCCCCTTGGCACAACTCCCATTTACTTCACTGAGATCTGGAGCTAACGAGGTACATCTACACTACCCAAAAAAACCCAGGAACCCTGCAGCAGCAAATCTCAGAGCTCGGGTCAGCTGACTCAGGCTTGGGCTAGGGGCTACAAACAGCTGTGTATACATTCTGCCTTGGGCTAGAGCCTGGGCTCTGCAACCTGGGAGCTCTGAGCCTCATTGCCCTAGGTCTGGGTTTTATTTGTTGTGCTGTGTAGAGACCCCCCCGGGCTCCATGGCAGCAAGCCCCAAGCTTCCAGCCCAGCAGATTGAAATAAAAACCACAACCGCAACTCATGGCACAATTTCCTCTTCTGTGTCTGGGACAGTGGACAACTCTGGCCACTGGGGGTCAGACACTTTTCACTGCAGACAGATCTTCCCTTGCCTTCCTGGCGGTGTTTATTTCTCCATGGGATTTGTGCCTTAGTTCTGTTGGGAACTGTCTCCCCAGAGCGCTGCACCCCTGAGAACCATCAGTTCCCCAGACCCAAATACTGCTGGGCAAGCTGACTCCTGCCCTCTGGTGGGCTGCTTGTGGCAGAAGGAAGCAGTCCTGTTTGCCAAAATGGTATCTCAATAATGCCCCCACCAACCTGTTCTGAGCAGGGGTTTCTCTTTTCTTTTCAGTCCCCCTTAAACATCGCCTTGGCTCCTGACTCAGCCTGGGTTGGAATGTGCTAAAATTACCCATTAAAGGAATACCCTAGTCTGTTAAATGAAGGTAGTTTGGCTCAAATGTTCAACAGAGGCAGCTAAGCTTCACCTCTGAGTTCCAGCTGCTTTTACTTTTACTTTTGCACGTGCCAATGTCTTGCAGTCATAGCTTTGGGTTTTGGAAAATGTGTCCCTTTATATGTGCCACACCAAAACTGGTAACTCGTCCCCAAGCCAAGGCCTCAGTGATCTGATCAGTTAACAGATGGAGCACGCTCACCAGCCTGCATTGAGCAACACTGCATTTCACATCATTCCACTCTTAATGCAAATACACCCTGGAGTCTGTGACCTCTTCCCTGTGAGTAAGGTTCAAAACTGCCATCACCTGCCCTTTTTTTACTACCGTATTAACTGGTCAAAGAAGTTCAGTGTTCGTAGGGGGGGAATCTATGCCCAGATTTGTTTGAAGACCATCTTTTCCAAGAGCAAGAAACCAAACGCAGCCAGGCCTGTTGTGTCACTGGGTCTCTGTCTTCAAAATTTCTTCCATGTGGAGTGTGGTGGAGTTGAGCACCTTGCCCTCGGCGCCCATGCTGCTGATTCCCTAGTCCCGGCCCCTGGAGCAGGGCTGGGAGTGTAGCGAGAAGTGGAGCTTGGTGCCAGTGCCATGGGGGGGATGGATGGATGGGTGTAGCCCCTTGGCATCACAGCAGGTATTGTGAATTCCAGTGCCACCTGGCACCAGGAGGCTTCGGCCCTTCCTGCTCCTGGGGTGTCTTCACTGAGCTTGGGCCCAAAGCAAGCAGGACCTCAGGTTAACACTTTATCCACAAGATGGCAGCTCCAGCTGGTGGTGCTGGATGGTGCTCTGCCCATTTGGGTATGGCTGGCCTGGCCTCAATGCTCCCACTGTCTCATTGCTGGACGGGCACACACAGGGGTGTGGGTTTTTTGCTTTAGTGCTGGCTCCTCAAATGGCCACTGATCTCTTGTCCTGCACTTTAAGTAACAAAATACCGTGGCCCACCATAGGAGAGCATCCTTGCTTTTGATGATCGCACAGAATCTGTGCAGCCGGCTGTCCTCTCTGACCAAGGTGGCCACAGATCCTTCTCCAAGGGTACAGCAAGGAGGCAGCTTTGGATAAAATCTGGAGAGCAATGCAATAATTCCTGGGTCCAGCCCCCTCACTCACAGTGGTCCTGTTGCTACAGATGTCTGTATGTGTGTCAGATGTATATATGTATGTTTTTTTAGAAAGTTGACATGTTTGTTTTTATTTATTGCCTGAGAGATCATTTGGAGAAAAATAAATACATTTTCAACAGTACTGTCTGTTTCATACTCCTACACAGCGCTTTATAACAGCAGATTTCAAAGCACTTTGCAAGGGAGGGTCAGTATTGTCCCTGTTTTACAGATGGGAAACTGAGGCAGGTGAAGGTCACCAAGCAGGTCAGTGGCAGAGCCATGTCTCCTGAATCTGGTGTTCCATCCATGAGGACCAGGATTCCCCTACAGCCGGGGTGGGCAAACTTTTTGGCCTGAGAGCTTCATCCGGGCACAGAAATTGTATGGCAGGCCATGAATGCTCATGAAATTGGTGTGGGGGTGTGCGGGCTCTGGGATGGGGATGAGGGATTACCTGGAGGGTGGGAGGGGGATCAGGGTTGGGGCACTGGAGGGGGTTGGGGTGCAGGCTCCGGGCAGCACTTTCCCCAAGCAGCTCCCAGAAGCAGCGATATGTCCCCCCTCTGGCTCCTATGTGGAGGTGCAGCCAGGCAGCTCTGCACACTGCCCTGTCCACAGGTGCCACCCCTGCAGCTCCCATTGGCTGCAATTTCCAGATAGCGGGGGCTGTGTGCAGAGCCCCCTGGCTTCCCCTATGTGTAGGAGATGGGGGGGGGGGGGGGCCTGGAACATGCTGCTGCTTCCGGGAGCCACATGGAGCCATGGAATGCATGGAGTGGGACAAGCCCTGGATCCCATGCCCTGGCAGGATCTCAAGGGCTGGAATAAAACATTTGAAGGGCCAGATGCGGCCCCCAGGCTGTAGTTTGCCCATCCCTGCTCTACAGGATTCAGTGGCTTTCTTGCGGTGAGCTAATGAACAGGAGCAGCCAACAGGGATGTTTTGCAAGGGATTTCTCCAGTTGAAAGAGGCAAGACTGTGCTCCTGGGAGTGAGCTTGGGCGGTTAGTTGATAATTGTGCACTCATTTGCTTACTTGAAGATTTCCGTATGGTCTGTGTGCTGAGCCTACTGGCCAGCTAGCCCAGCTGAGAGCTTCCTACCAAGGCTGTAGCCTGCTTGTAGCGGGGTGAGCACCTGCTCCAGCCCTGAAAGGGTTGGAAAAGCCCTGCAGAGGGCTGGGGCTGGGAGCAAAACCCTGGCTGATTGGGGGAAGTGGCAGCAGCTGGGGGCCATGCCCCAATCAGGGCCCAGCTGACTCTATAAAGGCTTTGAGCCAGAAGTTCCAGGAGAGACTCTCTCTAGTTCAGAGAGAGAGGGACCTGGCTGCAAGGTGCTGAGCAGGGTACCTAGACTGGGAGCAGGGCTGGGGAAGGCCAAGGGAGCTGGGAGGCTCGGGCCTAGGAAAGCCCCAGGCTGTAGGCCTGGGAAGGCCTATTAGGTACTGGGGTTGCAGGGGCAGCCATGGGTAGGCAGAAGCAGCAGGTCTAAATCCCCTCACCTGTGATGAGTGGCTGATACTGCAGTCCCAGGGAGCGGGGACTGAGTGGTGACTGGCAGTAGCTTAAGACTGAGGCAAGGTGGGGATAGTGGGTGGGGGCTCCCCTGGGAGGGGGAGACTCCAAACTGTGGGGGGTAGTACCAGGGGGCAGTACCCAAGATAAGGACACAGGGGCCGGGGCGGTGAGACACCGCCCTGAAGGAGATGCTCTGGAGGCTGGATGCTAATTCCCTGAGATGACCAGCAGGAGGTGCTGCCGGGTGAGTCTGCGCCCGCTTACACTGCTATCCTTTGAACTGTAACCCTTTTAGGATCCCTTGAGAAGGGGGAGAAGGTAACCTGGGGAGCACAGGGGATTAAAAAGCCAGCTCCTAAGAGAGAAGAGGCGCTAGCAGACAGGAATTCTGTGAGGGCGTGTGGAGAGGCAGATACAAACGTACTCTAAACCACCCCCCAGAAACCTGGCACAAGTAAAAGTAACGCAGGCAGAAGTCCAGCAGCAGAGAGCAGGCTATCCAGGTAATCACACTGAATGCAGCAGATACAATTACCCGCCTTGTGGGCAGGTGGCGTGTGTGCATGGTGCAAGCAGCCCCAGGCCCTCAGAAACAGTGCCGGCTCCTGAGGCCCCAGTGGATGAACTGGAGAAGCTTAGGCAGCCCAAGATACATAGACAAGACTTTCTGGGACCTGGTAGAGCAGGTCCCACCCCCCGTCTGGCCGCCCCCGTGCTGTTGAGAAGGATGAAAGTCTCAGGGAAGGAGAGAATCAAGTTGGAGTGAAGGAAATGATCCCAGAGCTGGGACCATTCTAGGGACCCATGATGTCGGTGAGGACACGCCCCCCCCCCGGGAAGGGTACCCTACTTAGTAAGAAGACAGGTAATAGTAATGGGGGATTTAATTATTAGAAATATAGGATAGTTGGGTTTGCGATGACCAGGAGAACCGCCTTGTGAATTGCGTGCCGGGTGCAAAGGTTGCAGGTCTCGAGACATCTAGACAGACATGTTGTCAAGGTTCCTTCCCCACTCTGAACTCTAGGGTACAGATGTGGGGACCTGCATGAAAACCCCCCTAAGCTTATTTTTACCAACTCAGGTTAAAACTTCCCCAAGGTACAAACTATTTTCCTTTTTCCCTTGGACTTTATCGCTGCCACCACCAAGCATCTAACAAATATATAACAGGGAAAGAGCCTGCTTGGAAACGTCTTTCCCCCCAAAATCCTCCCAAACCCCTACACCCCCTTTCCTGGGGAAAGCTTGATAAAAATCCTCACCAATTTGCATAGGTGAACACAGACCCAAACCCTTGGATCTTAAGAACAATGAAAAAGCAATCAGGTTCTTAAAAGAAGAATTTTAATAGAAGAAAAAGTAAAAGAATCACCTCTGTAAAATCAGGATGGTAGATACCTTACAGGGTAATCAGATTCAAAACATAGAGAATCCCTCTAGGCAAAACCTTTAAGTTACAAAAAGACACAAAAACAGGAATATCCATTCCATTCAGCACAGCTTATTTTCTCAGCCATTTAAACAAACAGAATCTAACGCATATCTAGCTAGATTACTTACTAAATTCTAAAACTCCATTCCTTTTCTGTTGCCGGGAAAAGCCACCCACCCCCTTTGTTTCTCCCTCCGTCCAGCTTTTGAAAGTATCTTGTCTCCTCATAGGTCATTTTGGTCAGGTGCCGGCGAGGTTATCCCAGCTTCTTAACCCTTTAGAGGTGAAAGGGTTTTTCCTCTGGCCAGGAGGGATTTTAAAGGGGTTTACCCTTCCCTTTCTATTTATGACACATGTGCAGTGCTGGGAGTAGCCAGTGGTTGTGCTACATCGCCGGTACCTACATGTACGAGAGAGGTCCTGGAGGCCAAATTCAGGCTTCCACGTAAGAGTAAAGTCCATAACCTCTATGGTAGCATTTTCTAAAATGCTTCCAGTTCCATGTGCAAAGCCAGTTAGGCAGAACTAGAGTCTCAATACGTGGATGAGCCAATGGTATACGAAAGAGGGGTGTTGACATAGAGGAGTTTTTAAACTAAGGGCTAGGGAAAAGCCGACAGGTGCAGAGGAATGCATGGTTTGCACAGAGACATCCCTTAGGGGAGGATTGATTAAAAGGGAACTCTCTCTTAGTAAAGAGGGTAAAGACAGGTAGGCACTAGTGAGGGACAGTTAACCAAAAAAGAGTCAATTTAAATATAATGTAAAGATAAGCAATTCACTATTGACACGCTGTACAAATGCTAGCAGTCTAAATATTAAGATAGAGCTTGACATTAAATGAGGCTATTGATATATAATGAGGAGTCCTTGTGGCACCTTAGAGACTAAGGTTAGAACCCACTTCAAGCTTATGCCCAAATAAATTTATTAGTCTCTAAGGTGCCACAAGGACTCCTCATTATTTTTGCTGATAACACGGCTACCGCTCTGAAACATATTGAGATATAGGCATTGCTGAAACCTGGTGCAATGAGGGAAATCCATGAGACATGGTACCAGCGGTACAAAATCTCTCAGAATGACAGTAGGGTGTGCTGGTGGAGGAGTGGTGTGTGTATATAGTCACATAGGGTTAAATGACAAATGAATTTCTATGGATAGACAGTCCATGCTTGAACAAGAAGAGTAGAGCAGTAGGAATATGCTGCCGAACACCTGACCAGGCTGGTGATTGTGATATGTTCAGGGAGATTAGAGAGGCTACAAAAACAGAAAAACAATAATACTCGGGGATTTCCCCTATGGAGTGGGAACATGTCACCTCAAGACTGGATACAGAGATAAAAGGTCTAGACCATGTTAATGACAGCTTCTTGGAGCAGCTAGTTCTGGAACCCACAGGGGGAGAGGCAATTCTTGATTTAGCCCTAAGTGGAGCACAGGATCTGGTCCCAGAGGTGAATATAGCTGACCAACTTGTTGATAGTGACCATAATGTAATTAAACGTGACACCGTTGTATGGGGTAACATATAAAACAAACCTACCTACAGTAGCATTTAACTTCAAAAAGAGGAACTGCACAAGTCAGTGAAATGCAAATGAAAAGGACTAGGTACAAAGGTGAAATGCCTGCAAACTGAATGGAGCCTATTTAAAAACACCACATGACAGGCTCAAACGAAATGTGTACCACAAATAAGAGGACCAAAACATGCCCCAACGGCTAAACAGAGTACAACAGGCAGTTTGGGGCAAAAAGGCATCCTTTAAAAAACTGGAAGTCAAATCCCACTGAGGAAAATAGAAAGGAGCATGAACTCTGGCAAGTCAAGTGTTAAAGTACAATTAGGCCAGGAAGGAATGTGAACAGCAATTTGCTAGGGACAACAAATAATTTGCAGCAGGCTTCACTGCAGAAGCTATGGGTGGGGAGCAGGAATCACCACCGGAGTCATTGTTTTTACTGCCAGTTCGGAGGAACTGGCTCAATTTGAGGTGCCAGTAGAAATAGTTTTGGAACAAATTGCCAAACTAAACAGTAGTACGTCACCAGGCCCAGAGGGGATTCACCCAAGAGTTTTGAAGGAACTCAACTATGAAATTGCAGAATTACTAACTGTGGCATGTAACCTATCACTTAAATCGCATGTACCAGACGACTGGCAGCTCGCTAATCAAATGC